TAGCAAAATAATCAGCTGCAACCCAAAAATATCCCTAAAATTCAAACTTCTAAACATAAATATTAAAAAAAAAAAAAATCAAACCCAGCAAAATTGCTGGGTTCTCAAGAACCCAATAGATCTATTGGGTTTCGAAGAGGAGATGAGAGATGATGAAAGGAAAGAGATGACGAGGATATGAGAAAAGGAGAGGATTAAAACCCAAGCCAGCAAACAAGGATCCAGGGGAAGAAGATGAATAACGAAAGAGGTTGGAGATGAAAAGTAAGGTATAACGAAAGGAGGAAGGAAAGAAAGTGATGTGTGGTTGAAAATGAGGGTAAAAATGTAATTTTATTTTATAATTTAACCTTTAATAATTTTATTTTTATAATTTATCTCATTGTTAGTCCTACGTGTTAAGATATTTAACTTGTCATCTTTTTCTCATCAAGTAACAATCCACGTAAGTCGATTTTTAACAGAAAAACTAAATTAGGGTTAAAATGATAAACAGTAAGGGACTAGATTAAAGGTTCACACAATAATTGAAGGACGAAAATATGGTTTTAACCTATATATAAATGATGAGAGATTTATATATATAAAAAAACAAAAACAGAACAATCCGCATGATGATCCCGGTGGATTAACCATATCTATTTCCCGCGATCATGGGGAAATGCTGTGGGTCCAATTTTTCGCACCACTCAACATCAAGCCATGAACCATATCGCCACGTGTATATGCAGCCTCAGCGCAATCAACTGGAGCGAAATCACCCAACCAGAGTTTCACACGTAGACGCTAACCCAACTTTGTAGATCACAGTATATGTGGCGTTGATCTCTATGATTAATACGTGGGCCAATTAAATCTATTCTCGTGGCACCACGGGGTTCGAAAAGTCCATCCTGAAGTCATGCAGCCGCCCGCGTTAAATCCCTCCTTTCTTGCCCACAAGCTCCAAGGCACAACCTGCATTAAACCCTCAAACTTATTTCAAATTTTCAATTAAGTTCTTTTAAATTTTTCTAGAAACAAATAAATTTTTAAATTTGATGATTTGAATGATCTAGTTATTTTTCTTATGACAGATTTAATATTTATTTTCATCCTATTTATGTGAATAATATTAATACCATTATGTAAACAATGACATTCCAATATCTTATCTAAGTAAATAAGGTGCAGAGTAACATTAAATTTATCTTAAAATAGAGAATTAGAGACAGTACAAAAAATTGGATTTTTTTTTTTACAATAGAATTAATTACAAAATCTAAGTTTTGGGCATAAATTTTATTTATGACAAAAAAATTAAAATTTTAATAATTAATTTTTTGTCCCAAAATGTTCATTTTTTTTATAGTGAGACTTAACAAAAAAATATCACATAAGTTAGTGGGCTTAACACGAAGGGTTTTTGCCTTCCATCCTGCCAGCCTTAAGGGGTGAAGGATGACGCAAATTGGATCCAGCTGTGATGCGGATGTCACGTGCGAATGTCGCCAAAATAAATACCCGACCCGACCCCACCCCGTATCCATATCACTCAGGGGCCAGGGCAGGGCCGGACCTTAGCCAGGGCACTTGGTTTGAGGAAGCTGTACACAAAGGGCCGGTCGCAGGCGTACCCACGTGTAGGGGTGGGCAAAATCGGTTTCGGTTCA